TTGCTTTTCTGCTCTAACAATTGCAGTGGCTTTATTTCTTGCCACGCGAAAAGAGTCCCAGTTAGCTTATGAGCGATTTTTCTTCCAAAGGCGATAAGCTTTTGTTCGCGCTTTTATAGCTTCCCTGACTTTGGTGTTCAACCAAGGACAAGGTTATGCTTTTCCATAACGCAGCGGAACGAAAGTATTGTAGAGAGACACCAATTTATTGTTTAAAAAATCAAGTTTTTCATTTACAGAGCCAAAATACCAACATTCAGTCCAAACAACATGTTCTAGTTCCAAACGCAGTGCATTTAGGTCGATTGAGCGAAAGACTCTGAAGGTATACACTTTTCCACTGCAAGAATCACTAAAGTGAATGTCAAAAGAGCAAAACATTAAATCATGGTCAGAAACAAATGAAATTTGGTCAAATTTTAACACAGAGGAACGATCAGAAACGACAAAATAATCAAGAAGACTAGGATTACAATTATTACAGAACCTAGTAGGTACTGAAGTATTAACGATGGAGAGACCAAGATTTGAGACATCATCTGAGAAGGAGGAACATATTTTATCACGGACCAGAATATTGATATTAAAATCACCACAGAGTATAACATTATCATAGTCCATAAGCATCGTAGACAGTTTCTCAAACAAAGGACCTGTACAAGAGGATCTATTAGGATTATACACACAAGAGACAAGAACTTTTTTTAGGCGATCGGACAACTCAACAAATAAAAACTCAATTTCCTCAGTACTTGATTCGCAAACAAGCTTCATGTTTATGGGGTTCTTGCAGTAAATTGCAACACCGCCACCTCTTTTGCCAATTCGATCATTTCGCATAAGCTTGTAATTACTTATGCTAAAGTGAACATCACTAACACCCTTAGGGAACCAAGTTTCTGACACGCATATAACATCAACAGCGGAGTGCTCAAACACATATCTGACATAATCCATTTTTACACTATTTAAGCTACGGGCATTAAAATGGACAATGTTAAGCCCACGCTGTTGTCTACATAACACATTTAACATAACAAGACTGTTATCATCAACGCTATTGATCTTACCATCACCAACCACCATACAGCAAGTAAACAAAAGCAACTTCAAAATAAGAACAAACACATGCAGTGTAGGAGAAAAGAACGAAGAGATGAACCACCTTTACAACATTAAACATATTAAAACACATGCTTAAGCTAAGAGTAAAGAAACAAGATATAAAATAAATTAAAATAAACGTAGACCGTTAGCATAAATTATGCAGATCAGTGCGCGTATCAATTTTCTGCGCAGCTAAATGTTTGTCAACTTTGACATATACAGCGCCGCGCAGCGTAAATACTGATGCCAACTTCCCCTCTCTCCTTAATGATATAGCCTCCTGCAATGTCTTCCTGGATCGGCAGCCAGGCTCTCGAATAGCGAAAATTTTCCCTCAAGGCCAACAGCAGTAAGAGAAATTATAGACTTAGTTCGCTTTCTGTAGTCACTAAAAGCACGAAGAGTTCGGTTGCGATCAAGCGGGGAAAAAAATGGTATCACAACTGCGCTGTTAGGGTTGTTGTTGGACGGCTTAGTGCGGAAAATATCCCGTACTTGGGGAACAAGAAAATCGATGGATAGACATATAAGATTAAATACGCTCTTCCAATTTTCTCCCTCAGTATATGGAATGCCAAATGCAATAGCATCAGCAGCGATATCGGGAGCGAATTTTTTGTTTTCCGCCTTTTCAATTTCAGCTTTCAGTCGCTGCACTTCAGTTTCAAAACTCTGTTGTTTAGCTTCCAAAGCTGCAATCCGCTCAGCAGATTCTATTATTTTTGAAGAGAGCACAGCAACTTCAGTATCAATCTTCTTACTCAGTGCCCTCTCAACCTCCGTTACCTTAAATAAAATACTATCGAAGAGAGACTCTAGCTTGTCGGACTGCCGTTGTACTATTTCTTCAAGCTCACGAATTGCTCTTAATATTGATGGAAGAGCAGCACTCTCGTCTAGTTTTACAGTTTTGGATGTAGGAGAACTTTTGCTTAAGCGTCTTTTAGCGCCAGCAGATGGAGTGGATGGCATACCTTCAAGTTTAAGTTTACACCAACAATAGAGGAGAAAGAATAATTAATTAAGCGTAGGCACAAAATCTTAGTTCAGATGAGCTTTTGTTCAGCAACAGGTAATCCGTCAGCACGCTAGCGACCGAAAAACACCAAATTATTTATTTAATAATACGAAATTCCACGACTGTTTAAAGCGAAACTGGAGCTCAAACAAAACACGTCTGCACTCTTTAACTCTTACACACTTACTCTCTGAGATTTTTTCAAGCATTTTCGTTTTAGTTCTATGAGATTTGTTCGAGACTTTTACGGAAATTTTTCGGGATATTTTCGGGGATTTTGTCGGATTTCAGATTTCGAGATTTCTCGGCATGTTTCGGTAGCTTTCGTAATTTTCTTATTGCTTCTCGAAATTCTTCATGTTTTATTCTCCGGAAATTGTTTTGGGAACTTTCAGATTCTTCGGAAAGTTTCCGGTATTTTTCGAAATTTTTTTGCGGACTTTCGGGATTCTTTAAATTTATTTACAGATATTTTGGGATCTTTGAGGTCTTTTCCGCGCGTTTCAATAGCTTTTGGAATCCTTATCGGGACTTTTCGGGATATTTTGGAGGTTGACTTTTTTGGTAGTCTTCGCGTTGTATTCTTCGGAATTTTTTAGGTACTTTAAGACTTTTTTGGTATATTTCTGGTATTTTTCGAATCTCTTTTCGAGCTTTTTCGAAATGTCTCGCGTTTTATTTTTTGGGATATCTAAGCGAGTTTTTTCCGGAACGTTTTTGAAACTTTTGGAGTTTTTTCGGTATTTTCTGTATTTTTTTTTATACTTTTCGGTAACTTTTGAAAACTTTTTCGGGGATTTTTGGCGTGATTCTTGTTTTATTCTCCGGTATTTCTTCGAGATTTTTCGGGAACCTTTAGAGTTTTTCAAAGGCTTTTCGGAGCTTTTCAGAACGTTCGAGAATTTTTGGTAATCTTTGGAATGTCATAAAGCTTTTTCGAGATTTTTGAGGTTTTCGGGGAAATTACGAGGACTTTTGAACATATCGACATTTTCGGGACTCTTCGAATTTTTTCCAGAGTTTTAATTTTTTCCTCTCCAGGTTATTTCAGGGACTTAAAAAAATTGTTCGGTACGTTTCCGGTATATTTGGAGCAATCGCGAGATTTTTCATCGTGCTTTACTTTTTGCGGGTTTGTTGGAGATTTTTCGGAATTTTTCCAGGCCCAGTTTTCAGATTTTTTTTCGAGACTTTTTGGATATTTCTAGATTTTTGGCATTTGGTTGAAAGATTTTTTTCCGGAAATTTTGGCATTATGTATTTCGGTTTTAGTTTTCAGAATTTCTTGGGATTTTTCGGGGACTTTTAAAGCCTGTATTTTTCAGAGCTTTTCGCAACGTTTCGGGTTTTCCTGGCTTCTCACAGATTATTCAAATCCATTAGTGATCTCTGTTCTCAAAACAAAATATTTGGCTTTTTATTGTAAAATTACTATGGCTAGGACCTCTGTTATTTTGAATTTTCAGGGGCTTTGCTTGACAGTTTTTTTTATTTTTCATTCTTAATCGAGGCAATTGATTTTAACTTTTTCGAACATACTTCCGCTTTTATGAATTCTTTGAATTCCTTTTGATTGAAAATATATATACATAGATGAAAACGATTAAATTTAAATTTTATGGGTTAAATTATAATTTATTGACAAAATCACAACCTCTACGGTAACTACCGTATATGTATTTCTGTCGGCTTGGCAACCCAGGCTCATTGTTGATATTTTTATCCAAATGAGATGTGTAAGTGGGTATTAAGCGTGTGCATATGTTTAGGCAGCATTAAAGTATGTACTTAAATTCATACGTATGTGTGTATGTGCATTAGGGTGGTCCTTAGATGTAGGAGACAATTTTTACACCAGAGTTCCTAAGCCGCAACCTCTACATCGATGCTACTATAGTCGAATATATTAAATATCAATTTTGGTCTTGATTGAAGTCGGTTAAGGCGTGTTGCACAGGGGTCAAAGTTCAGATTACCCTATGAAGACGCCTTAACAGACTCCAATGGGGATCAAAATTTATATGAAATATGCTCGGCTTTAGTAGTATCGATTTTGGGTATTAAAAGAAAAAAAAATATTTTTAATTTTTTGAGTCTATAGAGGCATCTTGCCTTTGACTCCTTCGCGACACGCCTTAACCAACTGCAATCGGGACCAAAATGTATATCTGACATCTTCGACTATAGTAGTATCGATTTTTGGGTATTAGATAAAAAAAAACATAATTGTAATTTTTCAAGTCTATATAGAGGAATTTGTAATTTTCCCCCTGTGCGACACGCCTTAATCGTTTCAATTCGGGACCAAAAGTTATATGTGATATCTGTGACGATGGTACTTATTACCAATTCGTTCATTTAATTTTTAAGGACCACCCTAATGTACATAAAAGCATATGGTCTCGCAAAAACAGCGCACACCTACACAGCTTCAGTTCATCATCATCCTTTGCATATTAAATTGTTGCTCACATTTACTTACCATATGCTCATTTTTTCGCTGACATCTTTATTGTTACATGTTCTTCGTGCACGGCGAGATTACGTATTTGCATGTAATTTTTGACATTTTTCACATCACCGCACGCAATTAGATTCACATGCGTGTGTGGGTGGGAGTGTGTGCTAAAATTTTTTATGTAAATTTTTATGCTAAACACGTTGAAATTATTTATAATTCCTTATAATTTTGCGTCATTTACGTTTTATCTCCACTTGTGACGTCCTGACAACATAAACAAAAACCACTACAACAACAACAACAACTATCGCTTTTACTATATATGTTGACTGTAATTTGGTGAAACCCTCATGCAACTCTTCCTACGCCAACTATTCGAAAATGCCCTGCGGCTTGCAAAACACATAGTGCTCGGTAACCTGCGGCCAAGGCTTGCAAATGCGTGGCGTTGAATGCAAATCGTCCACCGGCAGACATAGCGCCAAATGCGACCCAGTTACGAAGCCCGCATCCGTGCAGCCATGCGCGACGGGGGTCTCTTGTGATAGCGGTGGTACAATTATACTCGGCAGCAGCGGGCCACGCGCAGCGGTGAGTACTTAGTTAGGAGAACTAAATTAAAAAAAAAAAAAAAAACAGATAAAATTATACACTAAGCGTTTAAAAATGATTAGTTCTAAAAAGGCACAAATTTGCATACAATTAACTTTCCTACCTTTAATCTGCGCCATTTCTTACCTTCCCTTATCTAACAGTCCGATGACGGTGATCTTGACGAGGAGGAGGATGAGGACGATGATGATTCTGCGGATGTTGACGATGTCGACGACGAAGGCGGTGACGAATCTGGCGATGCTCGCAATGATGATGATGCCGGTTTAGTGTCATATAACGATGAGTCCGGACCGCAGTATGCGCATCGCTCGATCAGTCATTTGCATCATGATGAGCCGCAACAGCCACGCGCCGAGCGCCTAACTAGCGGTGGCGGTGGTGGTTATGGTTATCGCAGTAATTCGGATCCAGAAACGCAGGTGCCTGCTGGCGATCCAAGGTGAGTAAAAGGCAGATTATTTAATATTTAGGATTTATTGGGTTTTAAAAGGGCCAGGAAGGTGTTTTTGTTTACCATTTGCTACGCCTTAAAATGATGTCGTATCTCCAATTAGTTCGTAGATCAGCTCATTGAAGAGCTTTCAAGGCTTCAAAACCCAAGATGAACCATATTTTTCCGGGGTGACGCCTTAGTTGTGCTGGTATAATAATACAGGTTTACAAAAAAAAAGTTTCTTCATATTGAACCAAACTTCTATATAGCTATGTTTTTCGATGCGCTGAATGCTAATCCGAGGTCTGTTGGCCTCTATCACTTCAGGTTCGAGATCATTTGCAGGTCAAGTAGGGAAAAGTTCATTGGATAAACCTGAAAATTCAATACAATTCATCAGAATCTGACATCGAAATGATCTTGGCATGACCTCTATATGACCGTGAAGAATCAAGGATCACCATATTCGGATTCAGCGACATCAATGACCTATGCGTATGAAATTTTATTTTTAATAAAAAATTATTTTTTTATTCTTTTTGACCCTCAAACGACCTCGTGCCCCATATATATGAATTATCACGTTTATTTAAAGAATTTTTCCCCTATTTGACCTTCAAATTACCTCGAACTGGACGTGATAGAGGCCAACAGACCTCTGATTCAGCGCGTCGAATAACATAGGGATATAGAGGTTTGATTCAATATGCAGAAACTTTTTTTGTAAACCTGTGTAATTATTTATTGACTACCTTCAATCAGCTTCGTTGTAGCATTCCTAGTAAGATTTTCGAAAGCCACCTTGCCATCTGAGCGATGGCGAGTAATTAGCCCATTCAACCTTAGTTAAAGTTCTACGATTTCAAGAAATTATTGCATCAAGTTCTGACCGTATCATCTCCTAGAAAAGAAAAAGGTCTGTTGCTATTGTATATTTTGTTTTATTTGTTTGTTTGATTAAGACCATAGCTAAGACTTTGATTAACAGAGCAATTCTTCTAACGTACTATAGTCTTTCGAAAGGCAAAAGTCTTTCGCCAGAGAATTGTAAATTCTAGCAACTATCTTGAAAGCTCATTTCTGTCTTTCGAAAGATTAATAAGGTCTGTTAACGAGGAGGTATTAGTTATTCTGGTTGACTTTCAAAGACTAAAAATTTAATTTAAAATTTAGCTCAAAAGATACTTAATTAAATAATAAATAAAAATAGCATCTATAAAATAGATAAAATTAAAAAAAAATTTAAGAAAATTAAATTTAAAAAATAAAATAAGTTCCTATATATTAAATGAAATTAAAATATATATATTTTTATTTTTAAACAATACAATCCTATAGTTGAAAGATTTTAAAAGTAATGAAATTAAAAAAAATAAATAAATAAGTTTTTAAAAATTATATTAAATTAAAATTTGTCCTTTTTAATGCAATATAATCCAGAAATTTAATCGAAATAGCAAAAAAAATTTAACTAAAAATTAAATGAAATTAAAAAATATATACATACATATATATTATTATTTCTAAACAACAAGGGCCCTTTTATCAAATAGGTTTTGGAATTTAAAAACTAAGAGAACGTTAATTATAAAAAGAAAAGAATAATTTCAAAAAACTTAAATGAAATAAAAAAATAGTTTTCTTTAACAATAAAATCTAAGAGTTAATCGAAAATTTTATAAAAAAGGAATTAACTTAAAAATAGAAAGAGAAATAAATATGTTTCATAAATTAAATGCTTAAGTCAATAAAATCAAAAATTAAATTAAACTAAACAAATACATAAAATAAATTTATAAAAATGTTTTGAAATTAAAAAAATACAAAAGGAGCCGTTTTATCAAGTAGGTCTTAAAATTTATATGCCCTTCAAACACAAATTTTTTTCTGAAAACCGGCACTAAATCCCCAAAATTGAAAGAAAATGAAATTGAAAAAAAAAATTTAAATTAAAAAAGGAAGAATATTCCGCTGCCCGAGGACTCGACCCTCGGCTTTGATCACTCGTTGCTTGCGGCTGTTGGAGTAGCGTGTTCATCAAAATGATTTAGATTTCCATTGTGAACGCGATTAAGTACTTTCTGTCAAAGAGCTTTTCACCATGAAAGTTGGCAAGGCAGTTCTTTTTTTGTAAGATTTTAATGCTAGAATAGAGAGATTCTTTCAAGAACGAAAAATTGCACTGAAGGTAGCAGAACGCCGAAACTAGTTTGTCCCCAAACCAGATTTGACAAGGGATGACAGAAAATCGTTTCACATTACATCTTTTAAATTGTCTTGCCACTTTGGGTGTCAAATGAAAGCTTCTGGCTCTTCCTGATTGACTGAAGTAGAAAGCTTTCCCATACAACTCTGCGATGAGCTGGTTTTCAAACGAGTTAAATGGTTTAACCGGTCGAATTTTCCAACAACAACTGCATGCGATTCAACTTTCTTACGAACACGTTTTGTTCATTTAACTGGTTCGAGCCCATTTAACATGTTTAACTCGTTAATTTGAACGAAGTATAAGACTATATTTATGGTTACCATTAATGATTATTATTATTTCTGGCTTTGTCTGAGATAATCTAAGTACTATACTACGAGTATAGTAATTAATATGGCTTTGGTGTAGCCTTTATAATGATCATTATGACTGTGATTACGACTATCAATACAACCCTTATTTTGACCAGGACTGTGATTATGACAATGCTTATAATTATGACTGTCACCGTGACTATGACTACGACTTTGGCTATAAACTTGATTATAAATATCGTTACGACAAATATTTTGACCTTGTCTGGGATTTACCATGACTACGACTATCGACGCAAGCCACGAGGCCACGAGTTCGCGTCCCATGGCCAGCACAATTAAATTTTTTTTTTTTAATTTGTTTAATCACTTTTTTATTTCACTAAATGTAATTATAGTTGTTTTGGTCTTTTTTAATTAAATCAAACTAAAAAAATTAAATTAACTTGAAATAGATAGGTGAAAAAACATTAAAAAAAAAAATAATAATTAAATTAAATTATAATTAAAAAATTAAAAATGGTTTTTAAAAATTACTCGGAGTCAGGATCGCACCTGGGTCCTACTGAGTTGAATACACAGTTTTGACCTTAAGGCTTCATTCAGAAATAGTCACAAATGATCTTGAAATAAACTTGAACAGAAACTTTGACATTGAAAGCAACCATTTGGCCTTAACTTAAATACATACATACATATACGTTCCTTCATTATGTTTTATACTCAACTAGACACAAAATTCAATCAAGCACACTAATTTTAAATTTCTCTCAAACCTTAAAATGCACATTTCCGACACGTGCACTGTCAGACAGTAGTAACATTACCTCATTCCAGTGTTCGTAAGCCTATTGTAACTGTAAATGAGACGACCTCTACTATGGCACATTCTCTCAAACTTGACAAGCTTACAAAGGATTACATAGTTGTCACCTGCTGATTTCCTTGCCATTCACCTGCTCTGCTACCATCTCCTCTGCCCACACATTTTTTAACTGTCTGCATTTGACAAGCCTTAGTTATTTACATAAAACGCATAGACTTGGTAATCTCTGTTGCCCCACCCAGCCCTTTAACTCACTGAAAGTTAATCGGCATTAGACTGTACTCACCGTTCACTTCACTTCGTAACGCATTGCTATTTTGTCGCTACGAATAGCCATCAACATTGGCAACGCCAACGTCAACACCTCCTCCCAACTTTCATCTTTCATAATGCCCTCTTCGGCTTCTATTTTCACTTCATTTCATCGCCACAGACTCGCAGACACTTAATCGTTTAATCACCTGTGCGTTAGTTAACATTCTGGAATTTCTTTTTCCCCATAGAAATAATTTCTATGGAATAGACGGTGCGGTGCGAAGACAGTTAGAATATTCCGTACATGAGTGTGTGTTGTCCTAGGTGCATACTTATTTATATGCGTGATGTTATTCTTTAGTTGCTTTAACACTAAATTAACTTTCTTTATGTGCGCTTGTTTACCTGTTAAAGTGTGGTGATATGTACGTGGTAACCCAGCAAAAAACACGATTACCACAGAAACGAAAGTGGAAACGAGCTAGGCGATGGGAATCGCTTACCGTTTCGCTTCAAGAAGGCCTTATTTTAACATGGGCATGTCATTGGAGGTAAGCCCTTACCCGCAGCGTTACCTTCAAACGAAGGGAGAACGCATGGATAAACAGAATCCAAAGAAGCGAACAAAGAATGCCTTACAGAGAAACTAATGTAGAATGCCTAGATAAGTACATACTTATTTATATTAAATTGAAATCAGAAAATGTCTTAAAAGGTTAAAATTAATTAAAATTTTTATAAATCAGCGTACATATGTATGTATTTAGGTATTTAGATTTTCTTTAAAATCGGTATGTACATACATGCATATTTAATTAAGCTTAAAATTGTACTTCCTCACTCTTGTACGTCACTTCATTGACTGACTTCAACTTCGCTGCAAATTGAACAAAGCAAAACATGATTTTTATGCGAGACAAATTTCCACAGAAAGTAACGGTAGAAAAAGAATTTTTGGATATTCATTCCATTTTTCAGCTGACTACGATGCAGCATTCTACTTTGCATTCCCCGAAATGAAGCAAAGAAGCGAAACAAATAAAATATTGTAGGACATTCTACTTTGCATTCCCCGAAATGAAGCAAAGAAGCGAAACGAATAAAATATTGTAGGACATTCTACTTTGCATTACCTGAAATGACGCAAAGAAGCGAAACAAATAAAATATTGTAGGACATTCTACTTTGCATTCCCGGAAATTAAGCAAAGAAACGAATTAAAAAATAAATATTATAGGACATTCTACTTTGCATTCCCCGAAATGAAACGAAGAAGCGAGATAAATAAAATATTGTAGCACATTCTACTTTGCATTACTGGCAATGCCTAAAAGAAGCGAAAAAATTCGAAGGCATTATAACGCTATGCCTTCTAGAACACGTTACCACTAAAAGCGATTAC